GTGTTTGAAAGACAGGAACTGATCAAAAAGCTGAAGAAACAGATTGTGCCCAAAGAGAAGAATAATAAGCCCATCAGTGGTGTAGAGTTGGCGGCGCTGTTGGAGATACTGGTGAACGCGGCAAACGACGGCTCTCTGGCAGACGTCCCCAACAGATGGGATGCGTTCGTCATTCGACTCCAACAGACGGCTATTGAAGACTGTCTGAAGTTCTATGAGGCAGACATGAGTGTACTGATTGTGGACGAGTACGACAACAGTGCCATCAATTTGAACCGATTCGACGAGTGGCACAACCAGTCTCTGCTGAGATCGGTGGAGCTATTGACACAACTTTTGCACGGATTGGATGAGACACTGACCAAAGGCTTACACGAATTGGAGCACAAAATCAATGTTCAATTCGACAGAAATAGAGACATCAATGAGAAGAAGATTAAACTCAAGTGTTCGCAGACTTTACATGAATTAGAGATCAAATCAGAACAGAGTATTCGTGCCATTGCTCTACCAATTCATACGACAGAACTGCTGGGACGGGCCAAAGAGGTCCTCAAATCCATGAAAACCGAATATATTAACCAAATAAGCGATTTAGTGGACAAACCAACGATTGATCAATATTTGGATAGTCTCTCAAAAGCCATTAAAAATCAGGTTTCGAGCGTTCAGTTGGAGAATAATAACGCTATCGAAGCCTACTTTGATCACAGAATACAAGAATCGGTCGAAAAGTTCCAATCGGTGACTATCTCTAACTACAGTCGAACCAAACCACGAAAGCCCAGTCTCTTGAAACGCATTCTCGAAGAGGGGAACATACAGGCGCTCGACTTATTCAACAATAACTGCAATAAGTATACCACAGAATCGAGTTATGAGTCAAAGTTAGCCGTTTTGAAGGTTAAGCTCAACGAACAGATCATTGAATTGGAGAAACAAAACGAGAAAACCGCCGAAACTTATACTCAGAGTGAGTCCAACCGTTTGCTCGATGAGTTCAAGACGCGAACCGGTGCCTCATTCATACCGATGCCCTCAAACACTACAGAATTAGAGTCGCGATTGAAATTAGAGTTTTCAAAATCTATAAGAGATTATTCGGATCTGTTGTCGGACTTTAAAGTCTATCAATCGTATGAACAACTCTTTCAGACATTTAAACAATATATAGAAGAAGTTTGCGAACAAAGGAGAGCAGAAAATGTGAAGGCATTCACTCGCGAAGTTGAGATACCATTGCGAACGTCCAAAAAGATCATCATCTTATCGCACGACAGATATTCAACAGTATTTAGTTTTAAGCAATTTGTAAGTGATTTATAAAATTATTTATTATTACATACAATAATAACTAATGTATGAATTGATCGACAGATACATTCCGTGTGTTTACTACATTTAGACGAAGGAAAGCCTAAGTATTGGTCAATGAAATTAAAGTCTGAAATCATTGATCAGTTCATCACAGATGACCAACAGTTACTTAAATTGATTGACTCCAAAGGTGGCCTCTGGTCAGCAGTTGTAGGCTTTTTTCAATGGGTTTTATGGCTCTTAAATATAGGCTAATGTTTGAATGGATTTTGTTGTTTTTTAAATGAGTTTTAATAAAATATTTTATTGTAATATTAGTTCATTTCATCTCTGGTCTATTATTATTCTTGTTAAATGTTAACATTTGTACAATTTATACGACAGTTCAAAAATAAAAAGGATTTTAAAAATAGTTTATGTTAAAAACTAAATTATACTGTAGTCTAATAAGCCGTTGATTGGAATGACTCTGATAAATATGGAAGTACCGGTACAGTACCGTAGTTTCATATAAAAATACATTTGGAGGTAAAGTAATGGAAATATCCTTAACCTGTGTGTAAATAATCTAAAAGTAGTTTTGTTTTTGTTATCTCTTAAGGTGTAAATCAATCGTTTTTAACGACTCATTAAATAAAAGTAAATAAGAAATTTACAGTATATAAGAAATTGGTCGTAAAATATCAATATATGGACATAAGAATCGTTGTTTAAATGCGATTAAATCGATATACAATACAAACAACAATGACTTCCACTTAAGTGATAACCACTAAGAAGATAATGAGAATAACGAAAATTAATAAACCTATTGCCACCCATTGGCGCCGGTCTGTCGGTAAACAATTTAATCAATTGATTAGACTTTTGGACATAAAAATAGGGGTTTAAGGGACTGACCGTTCGAGAGGTGCAGAACTCGGGCTACTTTTTTGAGGGTTGTGTCTAATCTGGAGTCTGTTATCTCGATTTCATGGCCCATCTCATCCAGCATTCTATACATCGAGTCATAAAAAGAGACAATTCATCACAAAATGCTTATTAATTAGTCATTCAATGACTGCTAGAAAAGGGCGAATCAAATGAATGAGTGGTGAGGAAGACATACACCGCGTGTTCGTCCACTTCTGTGCCGATCTGTCGACTAATCGACTTCAGATTTCCCACACTATTCCTGAGTTTGTCAAGCGAGTCGTCCTGAGTCTGTAATATCATCTGCTGATGGTATTGAAGGTGATTGCCGTCATCGACGGTAATGCCCACAGAATCGGAACCGTTAGCTCTGTTGGGACTCAAGTCGAAGCTGTTGTCGAGACGCGTGTATTTCGTCGGATTGGATGTCGAGGGCGACTGACTCTGACGTAAAGACGAGGAAGACTTCTTGTCTTTGTTTTTGCTGTCGAAGAGCTTCTCTCTCATGAACTTCACTTCATCTTTGGTCTGATGAATGAATTTCCTTCTGTTGCTGACCTCCTGTTCGTCTAATTTAAACTTCCGGTGATTCTTCTCCACGATGTCCACCGTCTCCTCCAAGTCCTCCAAATCCCATTCAATACTTCGCAGACCATTCCTCAGCTCCGTTGTGGTGAAGTCCATCTCCTCCTTGGATGAGCTGTTGGGGTCGTCCAAGAAGTCGGTCCATCGCTCGAAGTTATCGCGACATTTGGTCAGTGCCTTCAATACCTCTCTAATGGTTCGGGTTTTGGACACAAGACATAAGACATAAGACACATAAGACACGAATCGCTCATTACATCAATGTCTTCGGCTATCACTTACTCTTTGACGACGAAAAACGGGTCTTCGAGTGACATAACTATGAAACCATGAAATTATTGGCAAATTATGTGAAAAACCACTCTTCAGCTCAACTCAATTGAAGCGTTATATTAAAAAATATGTCAAAAGTATAGATAACCGTAAAAATTGAATAAATAATAAAATGGTTTTAAAACATGAGAAGCAATTCAAATCGGAAATCAATGAATAGACTACCAAAAAGTGGTCTAATATTTCACATAACGATTGATAAGTAATACTATTTTATCACTTGATTTGTCATCTCATTCACTACACAATAACAACACATTAAATGAAACATTGAAATCATAATTTGTAATCACATCTTAAGCAGTATTACATGGGAACGATATGTTTGGTAGGTAGGTGCTATTGAGAAAAACTATGACAATAATAAAATATTGCATTAAAGACTCAACACTTTCCTAAATTTATTGAACGCAGACTCAAATCAGCGATCATTTTGACGATAAGAAAAGTTTTTTGAATCTACTTTTGCTGCATTCAATGCATTCAATACACACGATCATTGCAAATACCATAACATAGTGTTTGCAGTTGAGCTCAACATTGCATTCATAATAACATTCAAAGTATGGCTTCAAGTCTTTACAAACAGAGGTGTGTTTTTTGACAATTATGCAATTTTTAGCTCTAATTTTGATTTAGTGCATCAATTTCATAGCAAACCTTTTCTCTCACTTTTCTCTCTTATATTTGTTTAACAAATGATCGTATAATCCAATTGTGTGTGTCTTGTATGCCATTGTCGAGCACTCGTGATTGCATTCAAGTGTTTCATTGAGTCTAGCGTTCAAAAAAAGGCCCAAAATATTCATATGAGGCTTATCTCGCAATTTCATGATATGTTTAATTTCATGATATGTTTACTCAACGCTTCTGTTGTTATTTATTTAATTGAATTCAATATTTCAACATCTATTTGATTTTCAATATTAATTTTATGTCACTTTCATAAACTAAGCTTATTTTGCCCACAAATTAATGCATTCAATATTTTATGTAATAGTAGTCCTTAATATCCATTACAATATCTATCATCACATCTACAGACAAACACTTTGCGATAAAAACTTTTTTTGTTTGGTTTATAATTCACACAAATCATTGTTATATTTAATTAAAGCACTTATTATTAATCACTTTTTGTCGCAATCACTCCCTAATCACATGAGAGCTAAATATATAGAAATGCAATCATAAAACATAATATCAATAAGTTTTGGCATTTTATTGAATTTTTCATGAATTGATTTCATTAACCAAAAGGCTATTAAAATTTAACGAATTGTTGGAAACGACTAAAGATGAGGGCGAAGACACCACTAATGGGGTAGTGATTGACACGAGAAGTCTTCGGGAGCTGTGTTTCGAAGTCGGCTGTCCTGATGACCAGAAACACATCCGCTCTCTTGTGTGGAAAGTATGGACACTCTTACCAATCATTTGACTGATACTTGAGTTTTGGTGTCAATTGATTGACTAATTGTTTGATACACTGATATCTAATGGTTGTGTTTCATGGTATGTCTGAACAGATCCTTTTGGGATATTTGCCATCAAATAGAAGTGAATGGAAGAGACATTTAGAAGAGAAACGCAAACTCTATAAACAGTTTGTATCGGAACTCATCATAAGTGACTCAAACGGCGCTCAATCACCCGATGATCACGTATTTAATGACTAGTTATTTGCCAATTTGTTTGTCAACTAATGTTTGACTCGATTGGACAGCCGTTAAACACAGCGCCAAACAGCCACTGGAAGAACTACTTCCGAGACAATGAAGTCTTGTCGCAGATATACAAAGACGTGAGGCGTCTCTATCCCGACATATCATTCTTCCAGCAGAGAATCGCTAAGACATTCACAAACAAAGCCGCCAATTGTGATGTCATTGGTATTGACAGTCAATTGTTTATTAATTTATGCAATGATTCGTTGAAATGTGAAATAATTTATTGAAATTAATTATTTTTATGAATTTATTTGCAAACGACAGGCCGTACGGCGAGTAAAGCCTACACTATTGATGTGATTCGTAATTGTTTTGGTGCCACAGAAGTCAGGGATAATCAGAGGAAAACCAACAGAACCGATGATAACGAAGAGGACTTCGAGTCCCCTAAAAGTTCAGACGGAGAAGAGTATCACTGGTAATGAATCCTATTATAACTGATCCTATGCTCTAATGGTTTAGAGTTTGCTTTCAATGGTTTTAAAATTTATTTATTGATTTTTTAAAAACAGGCAAATCGTGGCCAGAGTTTTATTTATTTATGCAAAGCTTAATCCCGGTCAGGGTTATGTTCAGGGTATGAATGAGATTATTGGTCCTTTATATTATGTGTTCGCTAATGATAATCACGACGGATGGAGTGGTAAGTGTTTGATACCATTAATTATCACTCATTGACGTATTAAATGGCTTTGTATTCAATTGCAGACCATTCAGAAGCGGACACTTTCTGGTGTTTTACGAGTTTGATGAGTGAAATCAGAGACATTTACAACAGTCACGCAGATTCTGATCACTCGACCGGTAATTTGAAATAAATATTCAGATAATTGTCTTTAATTTTTAATTATTCGTTTTTATGAATTTATTTGTTTCTGTATTAATTGCTATAAAATTTATGAGCAAACAACCATGTACAATTGCTTAACATTGAATTCTGCTATTGAAATGTATGCATACCTTAAGTTTCATAAGAGAGTTGAATGTAATCCTATTATAAATTCAATTATGAGTTGAATGAATAGTTTAATGACTGAATGGTTTACGGATTAATTCAGGTGTTTTGTATAAATGATTGATTTGTCATTCAAAACAATTCATTGAGCTTTTAATGAATTCTTTGTTAGGATTTCCATAATAATGTCATTTCAATCACTTTTTCCATTAATGTCACAAATTGTGAATATTTCTAAATATTTAATTCATGTATAAAGAACTTTATTTAGTAGTTTTGTTTTGAATACAATAGAAAATTGTGTAAAATATATTTTAAAATTAATTCAATTTTGAAGGATATTTTATTAGAAATGGCTGATAATGTAATTGAATTCAAGCATTGGTTGTGAATTTAAGTCAGTGTCAAATCATATCTTGTTTTAATTGTTTCAAAATTCTATATATTCTTATTGTCTAGAAATTACAGAAATCTTATAATTCTATTCATTCATTTGAAGCGAAAAATGACATCATTTTGGATAACATTTAATTTGGTTTCCAAAGAAATTTTGAAAACAATTTTTCTTATCTTTAGGTTTAGATTTGAATCGGAAATAAGTTTTTTGTTTAATGAATAACATATTGAAAGTACTGTACATTTACTGCGAAAATAATATTATAAACTGCATTATTCTTAGGTATTGTAAGCCTAATGACTCGTTTGACAAGTCTGTTATCGCGAGAAGACAGTGATTTGTGCCATAGAATCACTTTAGTTCAGGCAATAAAACCACATTATTATGCATTCCGATGGCTAACTCTTCTCTTATCGCAGGAGTTCCCACTGCCCGGTATGTCAACCATTGAATCGAGTGTTAAATTAAACAAAAAACTCAATTCAAGTGTTTTTCTGAAATCTTAACTGAAAATATTTTTAGATGTACTGAGACTTTGGGATTTCCTGTTCGCTGATGAAAAGCGATTCAATTTTCTACTTCAGACGTGTTGTGCAATGATTTGGTTTGTATTATCACTGGTTAAGGGTTTTCAATGTCCTAATCACTTATGTTTGCTGACAATTAGTTTGCTTCGTGAGGACCTAATGAGTGGTGACTTTGCATCCAATATGAAACTCTTGCAGAACTTTCCCGAACGCATAGATCTCAACCAAATTATCAATAGAGCCAAACAAATACATATTACTTGAGTTTTATATACAAATTACAATTTAAAGTATTTTCCATTTGTATTCAAATTGAATTTATGCATAATCTGCTGAATTGTATACATAATCAATCATTTTTATCTATACTTCACTAATTGGTTATAAACTTATTTATTTATACAATTGTTTTATTTCTACAATAATTTAATATTATATTTAACGTACAATCAAACGAATAAAAGAAAGTTATTTTATATAATTGATTGGAATTTCTTTTTTTAAACAAATGACTGAATTATTGTTCAATGAAATCCTGTATAAACCAGAACTCTATGGATCGAGTAATTGAATTGAAATATGTTTCTCAAGAGAGAGAGAGAGAGAGAGAGAGAGAGAGAGAGAATGTGAACAACAATTTTTGACAATCATTTCATCAAAAGTGATAAAAACAGGTTTAGATGTGTTGTGTATGTAATTCATGTCACTGTAAATCTGGAATATGACTGCCTTTCAGTCGACTACTAGTCCCATTCAATGGACTGAACATAAAGTATTGAACTCTCACTTCTCTCCTCATGAGTGAAAGTCCTCATCCATTTGCTTACCAATGGGTGCCATACATCCCAAATGAACAGCTTTTTGCGCAAAAATCTCACTTTTTGATTAAAAATCTATTTTATTATTTTTTATCACTCTTTTAAATCTTTAGCTATAAATTCCAAAGTGTCTCGACCTGAGAGAGAGAGAGAGAGAGAGAGAGAGAGGAGGAGGAAATATTTGGCTCTCTCTCTCTCTCTCTCTCTCTCTCTCACCATTCACTCACTTAAAGGGTCAACAGTCCCATAGTCCCGGACCGACGACTTGAGAGCAAATGTTAAATAATTTTTTTTCGATTCCTTCACTCTCTTGAGAGTCGACTTTAAACTTGTATTTATAAGAATTATAAGCAATTGAATGGAGAAAATGGTTTGAAGTGTTGTATTAATACTTAACCATTAACTTATAGAACAGAGGTTATGCACAGTATAAATAAATGTTATGTCTGTTTGTGTGTTGTCTTCGCAAAATATTAATAACAATTACCGGTAATTGCTTTCAAATAAATAATTTTCTAATTTTAGAAACTTATTGTTAGACATAAGCCATAAAACTATTGTAAAGTCTCTGTCTGCACTCCAAAGCATTTCGCAAAATATGAAAACACATGCAATTGGATAGTAAAGAGTGGTTTTGCGATAAGAAATATTGTTTCCAAGAACTCAACCCTTTTTTCCTCCAGACTCTGTCGATATAACAATGCCTTTAAATGGCTATTTGTCCTCCAAATTGTAAATTATTCTTGTGTTTTATTTTATCAAATAATCCATGAAAATGTAAATTCATTTTTATCATAAAAAACAAAGAATAATTAAATCTAACATATCTTATATAAAAAATATTTATTAAATTGTTTTAATGTTTAATGAATTTAATAACAAATGTTTTCGTGAATTTCATTTCCCCTTGCAATCATACAATACTACAAAAATACTATATTATTGCAGTGAAATTCTTATTAACTTTTTATTCATCAATGTTTGAAATTGTATGTAAAAACCATTTAGCACTCGAGTACTCGCACTGACGACATGAACTGTAAGAGTTTCTCAGGTTTTGAGATATTCTGTGAGTTCTCTCTCATTCCCAAAAGGAGCCAAAATTCTAATAAAACTAAACCAAAAAACATTTATATTTATCATAAAATAAGATTTTCTATACATTCAAGTATAAGTGTCAACCATTTGGGAGTAAGAAATAAATTTTAAAAACTAAAAAAGTTTTTTCTTATATTGAAAATAGTTCAACAAATAACTGATAGACTCCAGTCTCTCTCTCTCTCTCTCTCTCTCTCTCTCTCTCTCGTTGATTTGGATTTGGTTTATAAAATAGGTTTATGAAGACGAATAGCGGGGCTCAGGGGGTCAGCGATTACAACATACATCTAAACCACAAATACATTCGCATATATCATCGGTTTCTCATACTTACGAACTTCAATATAAGTAGGACTGGAGGACTGGGAGCCGACAATGAATTCTCTCTGACAGATAAATCACAAACAATTGGGACCTAAAAACTGGCAAAAGTAAGAGTTCTTTATTTTTGTGGTTTTCCTAATTGCGAGGTTCGGGTCCTAATCCATAAGTACTAAATTAAGGGGAGATTGCCTTTCGGGGGCGGAGTTATTGAGCAGGTTTTCCATTGCTGGAGATGTGAAGCCATGCGAAGGGCAATCAACCGGTCCTCTCATCTCTCTCTCTTTCCACTCACAGGTAATGTTGAGAGAGAATTAGCCGCAGAAGTGAAGTGAAGTGCAGGTGAGCACCAAATCTCCCATACATTTAGAGTCAAAACATTTCTCTCTCTTTCAGTCTCTTTCTCAGTTTAATTGCCTTTTTCTGTGTGACAACTCCTAAAGCATTGAAAACTTTTTATATTTAAATTATATTCTATTAATAATTGCTATAAATATCGCTATAAATAAGTTTTTCAAAGTTTATTTAATTCCTCAAAGTTAAAGCTAAATAATTGAGTTAATGTTTATTATTTTTAGTTGACTTTGGATTATATCTAAGATATAAATACTCTGTATCTATGATGTGTGTTCACCGGATGTTTATCAACAAAACAAAGAATCTGATCCATTAACCATTAATCAATTGGTGGATAACTGTGTCTTTGGTTTATTGGATTAATTTATTAAAAACTTTTTTGTGAGATTAATGTTTCATTAATTCCTTACAAATTGTATTATTTATAAACCAAGCCTTTGTTGTGTTCAACACTATTTAGAGGTAAGTCATACTTTTCGAAACCGGTAACGATTACTGTATATTGAATTGGATACCTATTATCTGTCACTTCATATCAATAGATGAATATTTTTGAAATCATGTATTTCTAGAACAATATATGAATTAATTGATAGATTTATGAATTTGATTAGTAATTCAATTCACGTCTTAACCGTTACACCAATTATAGTGAAAGTACTTAAGAAAGAGAATACATAAGAAATTTCTATGACTTCAGAAATACAAACATAAAAAGATATTCAAACAAAATTGTCATTTAATTATAAGTTAGTGCAGTTATACTGTAGAATACAGTAGTGAGGGAAGGGTGGGATAGGGATGAGAGAACCTTAAACTTTAAATGCTTAATAATTGCTTTATTACTATACAATAATTGATTTTTAATATTTGTTTTCTCTTTCGTTTATTTATTTATAGGAAGAAACTTATTGATAGAAATGCAAAAACTTTATTGTATTTTATCACTATTTTTAATAATTTTACACTACAATGCACGTAAGTTTCACATTTATTTTATTTACAATTATTATTGAATTTATTTTGTAAATCTTTAACACCATTAATCTGAATACGAAATGTTTTGGAAAATATTAATTTTCAATTATCATTTTGTTAATAATCCTTTCAATCTTGAAATAAATGACAAATTATGGGTTAAATTCAAATCAGTGTCAGCTTATGATGTAATCAAAGAGTTGGCGACAAAATAAATTATAGGATTGAATGAAATCATAAAATTACTTATCAATGATAATCATCTTTAGGTATATTCTAATGGTTTGTGAATCAGTGATGAATAATATGCTTTCTAATCGTTGTGGTGTGTAATCGCAAGGTTTTTACGATCACTGTTTGTCTTTAATCCAAAACTTTTTTCCTCAAAATATCTAAAACTTGTGTTTAATATTTCAAATGCAATTAAAGGGAGAATTTTGTCTAAAACTTTCACTCAAGGATTAGGAAAATGTTATTTTAGGCAATCATTGAATTGATATTTATATGACTCATACCATCTGTTTCATCACAAATACTAATTGTGCGGTAAGTCTTGCATCTAATGATTCATAATATTGGGTGAGCATACCTGTGCTCTCTTACGCCTATCTGTCACTCGAATCTAAATATTATAATAGTCTATGAATCCAGTGTTTGCCAAATGTTGTCGCTTTGGATACAAAAGCATAACTTATTTCACGTTTTATATAACCAGAGACTAAACAGAATGAAAATTGTCATATTTTTTGCCCAATATTTCGAAACACATTTTACTTCTAAATATGAATTGAAAATAAATATGAGGAATATATTAGGAATATTGGGTCGACTGTTGATTAGAGTTTAGATTTGAAGACCTCATTGAATACTCCTTTATATAAACATTTATATGAAAATAATTGAATTATTTATTATAGAAAAATATGTGCAAAGAAGAAGAGGCCGTAAATCAATTTTGTTGATACAGTAATTGCAGTAATGTTTGTATTAAGGCTTAGATCTCAAGTTTAGATCTAATTTCTTGCGTTACACGAAATAAAAGTTTTGTTCAGGTTTTGAATGAAAACAAAAATTTTTGGTTTTGTTATCATTGATTGAATTTTTATGACATTAAGTCAACATTAAATGTTATTCAATTGAAAATGTATTTCGATTTATTAGTTAGAAAAGGGTTTCCAAAGGGTTTTCAAGAGTTCAGTTCACTTTTGAAGTTACCTTATCTGTGGAGTCAGTGATTGAACGTTAGCTTTGAATCAATTGCCAGTTGAATACACAGTATATTCTCAATTGTATAGCTTTTTAAGATTACAAAAACAGTTGAATATTCTAACCATCACTTACATTAAGCAGTTAGTGACCCCACCCCCTCCCCCATCTGCTTTACCCCTTTCATTTCATTGTCATTAGCGAAAACAAATAAATAATATCTTTTTTACGGTATATTTAATTGAAGATTAAGTTAAAATATTTCTTATAAACATATCGTTATAATAATATATACATTGAGAACAGATTTAAAAATAAATTAATGGGTTATTCTTGATTAACACGATTTCAGGTGCAGTTCCCCTGAGGTATAAGCGAGCATTTTCTTACATCGCAAATGAGACGGGTATGTATTGAATGCCCAAAACATCAAACATAATTATATGATTGTTTTAAATACTGGCATAACACAACATAACATTTAAGTTTTATCGAAAACTTTATCTAAAAAAGCATTTTATGATGTCTTTCCAAAGCATGTACTGTCGATCATATT